TTCCGATTATATTAAAAAGATCGATAAAATAATAAGATAATTCACATAAACTTTAAACCTCTGATACAAACAACCAACACATTAAGTAAACAACAAACAACAGATAAAGCTTTGTGTAATCTACTTCATCTGTAAATAATAATATTTATTTTTTACAGAAATTGTGTGTAGTCTACTCCGCCTGCTGAATTCCAATATTTTCTACGAAAACTTGAGATCGCTGGTGCTGGAGCGAATAGATAATGAGAACCAGTTACAAAACATTGAATCTCTGGGCTGTGAAATGACGATTTGTTGTTCAAGGCTAATAATTCACAGCTCGACACGCTTCACTACATCTCCAAGCGACTGCAGCTCCGTAAGTGGCATCTTGTTTTCGTGTACTAGTGTAGCATGAGGCGTGTCGATGTTTTTGTACTCTGGCATGTTGAGTACAGTAGTTTTTTTCTGTACTAGTTTGTTGAGTCATGTCATTTGTATTTATATAACTTACTGAGTACACTAGTTTGTATTTCTGTTTACTACACATAGGTCACACACATGTACAGGGTGTCTCATAGGTCACACACATGTACAGGGTGTCTCATAGGTCACACACACATGTACAGGGTGTCTCATAGGTCACACACATGTACAGGGTGTCTCATAGGTGTACAGGGTGTCTCATAGGTCACACACATGTACATCAATTATAACTAAGAACTGGGGAATATAACATAAAGAGCGATGGTGGTTTTGTTTATTTATTTACGTCATCGCAGAGACCAGGGAGCGTGACCTGGTGGTTCTACGTCACAAGATCGGCATCACGTGGCCCGACGGCAGGGAGGAGTTGAAGGGCATCAACCTGGTGTCGTACGGCGAGTCGACCGGTTACTCCGCCATGACCAAGACTGTGGGTTATCCGGTCGCCATCGCCACACGGGTGGTCTTGGACGGAGTGATTCGGGGACATGGGATGATTTTGCCGTTTACCCGAGACATTTACCGACCGATCATCTCTACACTCGAGAAGGAGGGAATTACCACAACGGAAAAATCCACGTGGGTTTAACGAGAAGGAATCATGAAGAGAAATACCGCATCTGTTTAAGAATAATACATCTGGGCTGTTAACAGTCTAGCAGTAACCACTTGTCTACAGGTCCCCTCTAAGCTTAATAAAATCGTCCGGCGCTAACCCAAATAAAATATCAAAAGTGGCGTTCCCGTAGTGAAGGGGTTAATTTTAAATGCAGATAAAATTATTGTAGTAATGTACAATACAGTATGTTGATTATAGTTTGATTCTGGGTATTTTGTTCTACAAGAAAAATACTGAAGTTCACTGTATATTTTGAAAGATCATGTTGTCAATAATTGTAATGATTTTCGCTGAAGTAATTTTGTAAGATTTAATTTACTATCCCCCACAAAAATCCTGTAGCCTCTCCTCCTGAACCGCGAACCCCAAGATTCAGACTCATGAATGTGAGGCATTTATGGCCAGAATAATGCATCAGTGCCTAATGCTTTGGGTTCAAGAGTCTCAATCCTGGGTTTTGTGGCTCAGAATAACACATTAACACCAAAATCGCACTTTGGAAACTCATAGTTGGCGAGTAATTACTAAGGTTAAGACTTACATTTTTTACAACTCCTGCCAGGAGCTGTGGCTTCCCCAGCAGCCCGTCCAGGGGCCCCTTCCAGGGGCGGCGACGCTGCCAGGAGACCTCGCAAGAGCAACGGTGCTCGCAGGGGCCCTCCCACAGTCGGCTCCCAAGGGGCCCTTCCAGGGGCAGCGGCGATCCCCAGGGAACCTCCCAGGGGTGGTAGTGGCCCCAGTCGCTCGCCCAGGGGTGGTAGTGGCCCCAGTCGCTCGCCCAGGGGTGGTAGTGGCCCCAATCGCTCGCCCAGGGGTGACGGCGCCCCCAGGGGCTCTCCTTAGGGGCTCTCCTTAGGGGCAGCGGTGTCCCCATGGGCCTTGCCAGGGGCGGTGACGCCCCAGGGGCCCTTGACCCTCCAATGGACAGTGGTGAGTCCAGGGGCCCGCCCAGGGGCAACGGCACCCCCACGGGCCCTCCAAGAGGCAGTGTCTCCCCTAAAGGCCCGCCCAGGGACAACAGAGCCCCCAGAAGCTCTCCTTAGGGGAATCGGCGCCTCCAGTCGCCTTCCCAGAAGAGGCGGTACCTCCAGGGGCATTCCCAGGGGTGGCGGTGCTCTTATGGACCCCGCAGGGGCAGTTGCACCCCAGGGGCCCTTCTAGGTGCAGTGACGCCCCCAGGGACCTTCCCAGGAGCCATCCCAACGGGCGGCGATGCCCCAAGAGGCCATCCCAGGGGCAGCAGCGCCACCAGGAGCCCTTCGTACAGGCGGCGTTGTCCCGAGGGGCTCTCCCAGAAACGGTGGCTCCTCCAGGGGGCCCTTCCAAAGGCGGTGGTACCCCCAGGGGCAGCGGCGATCCCCAGAGGACCTCCCAAGTGCAACAGTGCTCCCAGGAGATCTCATTAGGGGCAGCGGTTACCCACGGTCCCTCATAGAGACATCGGCGCCCCCAGGGACCTTCTTTAGGTGGGGCAGCGATCCCAGGGGCCCTGCTAGGGGCGGAGGCGTCCCAAGGAGTCATCCAAAAGGCAGCGGCGCCCCAAGGGGCCCTCCCAGGGACAGCAACACCCACAGTGGACCTCCCAGGGGCAACAGCGCAACCAGGTACTCTCCTTAGGGGCAGGGGCGCCCCCAGGGGACCTACCAGGGTCAGTGGTCCCCTCGGAGGCCCTGCCAGGGGCGATAGCGTCCCCAGGGGCACTCTCAGGAGCTCTCATTAGGGGCAGAAGTGCTCCAAGGTGCCCTTCCAGCGGCGGTGGCGCTCCTAGTATCTCATCCAGGGGTGGTTGCGCCCCCAGGAACTTTCCTTAGGGGCGGCGGTGCCCCCAGTGGTGACGACACCCCAAGTGCTCTCCATCGGGGCAGCGGCATCTCATGGGACCTTCCCAGGTGCGGTGGCGCCTCCAAAGGCACTCCCAGAGACGACGGCGCTCTTAGGGACCCCCAGTGACGCTGACGCCCCCAGGGACCGTCCCAAGGGCGGTGGCGCCCCTCCCACGGGCAACAGATTCGTCAAATGCCCTCCTTAGGGTCAATGGCGCCTTTATGGGCCCTTTCAGGGGCGATGAACCCCACAGGGGTCCTCTCAGGGGTATTGGCGTTCCCAGAAACCCTCCTTGCGGGGTGGAGAGACCCCAGGGGCGCTGTCAGGGGCGGTAGTGCCTTCAGGTTGCCCCTCCAGATGAGGTGGTGCCCCCAGAGGCCTTTTCAAGGGCAGCGGTGATGCGCTGGTGACCTCCCAGGGGTGGTGGTGTCCTCAAGGCTTCGCCTAGGGGAGGCGGCGCACCAAGCGGCTATCCTTAATGGCAGCGGCGACCCCATGGGCTCTCCCAGGGGCGGTAGTTTTCCCAGGGGCCCTTCCAGAGGCAACGGCACCCCCAGGGCCCCTTTCAGGGGCAGCGGCGTCCCCAGGGGCCCTGACAGTGGTGGTGACTACCCCAAGGACCCTTCCAGGGGCGGCGACACCGCTAGGGGTACTCCCAGGGGCCCTACCAGGAACGAAGGGCTCTCTCGGGTCCCTCCTAGATGCGGTGGCGCCCTTAGAGGCTTTGCCAGAGGCGGGGGCGACCACAGAGACTCTGATAGTGGTGGTGGCGCCCTGGGGTCTTTCTAGGGGCAGCGCCGCCCCTAGGGGCAATCCATGGGGCGACGGCGCCTCCAAAGGCCTTGTCGCGGTCGGCGGAGCCCCTAAGGGCCCTCCCAGAGACTGCATTGCCCCCGGGTCCCTTGGTTTCGAATATAAGGGCCACGATTCCATTGCCGGGTAATTAGTGGATGTAATGAAGCTTTGAAAATTTAATGACATTTTTATTTGTTAATTACTCGCCAACTAGGGGTTTCCAAAATTTTATTTTGGTGTTAAGGTGCTATTCTGTAAGTACTTAATTAGTTAAACCCCTTAGATTTTAATTATGAGAGAAAATTATACTTTGGTTCTAAAAATTATTAAGGTGTAAGGCTTACTTTTCGAGAGGGTTGGCCCAAAATTTGATTTTTGGTGAAAATTACATTATAGAAACTCCTGAGCATGCTGATTCCGAATGAAACGTCCCTGGGGGCGCCGCTGCCCCTAAGAAGTGCCCCTTGGGGCGCTGTCACACGTGGGCGGCCCACTGGGGCACCACCGCCTCTGGGAGGGCCCCTCGGGACGCCACACGCTCTGGAAGGGCTTCTGGAAGGCTACCTTCATTAAGAGGTCTCCTGCGGATCGCCGTTGCCCCTGGAAGGGACCCTGTGGGCGCCACCGCCTCTGGGAGGGCCCATGGTGATCGCCGATGCCCCTGGGAGGGCCTCTGAGGGATCCGCCGCCCCTGTGAGGGCCTCGAGCGCTACCGCCTCTGAAAGGGCCTCTCTAGGCGCCACCGACTCTGGGAGGGCCCCTGGCGGCGCCGCTACCCCTGGGAGGTCCCCATGGGGCGCTAGCGTCCCTGGGGCGGACACTGGCTTGGCGCCGTCGCCCCTCGGAGGCCCCTGGGATCGCAACCGCCCATGGAAGGGACCCTGAGCGCACCAACGCCTCTACGAGGGCCTCTGAGGGTCTGTTGCTCCTAATGAAAGCCCCTGGGGGCGCCAACGCCCCTGGGAGGTCTCTTGGAGGCGACGGTTCCCAAGGGTAAGCCCCTGCAGGCGCCGCTGCTCCTGGGGACACTACTGGCTCTGGCAGGGCCTTTCTGGACGCAGATGCGGCTGGGAAGCCTCCTGAGAGCACCCCTGCCCCTAAAGAGAGCCCACGGGGTCGTCATCGCCCTTGGACGGGCCCATGGGTGCACCACCGCCCCTGGCAGCACCACCAGAGGTGGGAGGCCTATTGGGGGTGCCGCTGTCCCTGGCAGGGCCCCTGAGGACGCCGCCGCCCTTGAGAGGGCCCCAGTGGGCACCGATTCCCTTGGCAGGCTCCTGGGGTCACAGATGCCCCTTAAAAGGCCCCTGTGGTGCCCCAGGGGCCCTGCCAGGAGAGGTGGCGTCCCCAAGGGCCCTATCAAGGTCGACTGCGCCTCAAGGGGCCCTATTTAAGGGCAGAGCGCCGCTATGGTCCTGAAAGGAGCAGTGGCGTCCCCAGGGGCCCTCCCAAGAGTGGCTAGTTTATTGTGCACCCCATACTCATCCTGTGAGCGGTAATGCAAAAGGATTACAGAGTATGGTTTACAAAAGGTCAGAATAATTAACCCCAGTGGTCAGGATATTATGGCACTGAATGTTACACAGTACTTCAAATACATTATTTGTTTAGTTCTGTACATAAAGGGTAACTTATTCACAACTGTGTGAGTGGAGTGTGAGTCAGTATGTCTGGCCGCACACTTTGTTATTCACATTTGCGTGAGAGGTGTTCAAGCACATTGTGTGTTTGGTTCTATACATGGGAACTGATATAACGACTAAGTGCAAAAAAGTGGATACAATATTAATATGTCGGCTATCTTGCCATTAGAGATGAAGTGTTGTGCCGTTTCACAGACAGTGTGCTTGGAACTGTCCCTAAAAGGTTCTATCTTCACACAATCGAGGACGTAGTGTTCAAGTGTGTGACCGTATGTCTGGCCACACACTTTACATTTAGTCTTGTTCACATCTGCTTGAGGGATATACTGCCAGAGGTACTTATATCCTAACCTCTGTCTAGCGGTTACAACATCCTGTAATCTAGTGATCTTGTTACTTGCTCCATATACATTTTTCATTTGATACATCTCATAATGGTAAACTATGGAGCGACTAGAGCGTGTTTGCACTTATCTGCTTGCATTAAATTCATCAATAAGTTCCCTCCTAATTACAGTTTTACGGGTTCTTTTTGAGAATCCCAAACTGTATTCAACAGTGTCTTTGTTAGCCTCCCAGGGGAGACCGCGACACCACGGGTCGTCTCAGAAGCGGTAGGACCCCAGAGGCCCTCCCAGGGGCGGTGGTGCCTCCAGGGGCCCTACCAGGGGCAGAGACGCCCTCAGGGGACCTACCAGGCACGGTGGTACCCCCAGGGGCCCTGCCAAGGGCAGTGGCATCCCCAGGGGCCCTCCCTAGGAACTGCGGCGCCGCCAGGGGCCCTGCCAGGTCTGGTGGCATCCATAAGGGCCCCTCCAAAGCCGATCGCGACTCCAGGGGCCCTCTCAGAGGCGGTGGCGCCCCCAAGGGCCCTCCCAGGGGCAGCAGCGCTCCCAGGGGACCTACCAGGGTCGGTGGTGCCCCCAGGGGCCCAGCCAGAGGAGGTGGTGTGCCCAGGGGCTCTCCCAGGGGTGGCCGAGCCCCCAGTAGCCCTCCTTAAAGAGAGTGGCGTCTCCAAGGTCCTGCCAGGAGCGGTGGCATCTCCAGGAACACTCTCAGATGCGCTGTCGCCCCCAGGGGCCCTCCCAGGGACAGCGGCGCCACAAGGAGACTTTCCTGTGCCGGTGGTGCCCCCACGAGCCTTCCTATGGGACATGGCGCTCATAGGGACCCTCCAAGGGACGACGATGCCTCCAAGGGCCCTCCCAAGGGCAGCGGCGCCCTCAGAAGACCTACTAGGGTCGGTGGTGCCCCCAGGGGCCCTGCCAGGGGCGGTGGCATCCCAAGGATCCTCACTAAGGGCAGAAGTGCTGCAAGGGACCCTGCCAGGAGCGGTGGCGTCCATAGGGTCCCTCCCAGGGCCAACTGCACCTCCAGGGGCCCTTTCAGAAGCTGTAGCGCACCCAGGGACCCTTCCAGGGAAAGCAGAGTCCCCAGGGGACGTACCAGAGTCGGTAGTGCCCCAGGGGCCCTGTCAGGGTCGGTGGCGTCCCCACGGGCCCTCGCAGAGATATCGGCGCTCCCAAGGGCCATCCTTGGGGGGGCAGAGACTCCAGGTGCCCTGCTAGGAGCGATGGAGTCCCAAAGGGCTATCCAAAGCGTGGAGGTACCCCCAGGGACCCACCCAGGGGCGGTGACGATCCTACGGGCCCTCTAAGAGGCAGTGGCGCCCCCAGGGCCCTCACAGGGGTGGTGGCGCTGCTATGAGTACTACCACGGGCGGGGGCGCCCCCAGAGGCGGCTGCTCCACCGATCCAAGGGGCCCTCCCAGGGTCAGTGTCGCCCCCAAAGATCCTACCAAGGACGCCCCCCTTCCAGGAACCCTATAGCCTGCTTGGTCGTGGTGTCGTAAATATTGCATACGTCTAGCAACTGTGATTGGTGGACTAAACTGAAAATCCACCAAATTACAGAACAGTCAGTCAGCACAACATCCCAACTTATGTTTTCCTGTTGCATATTTATTCTCCTTTTCATTGTTCAGGAAGCGATGATACTAGAAATGCAATGGGCAATGTATTTATTTAACGTCATATCTCTTAGAGTTCTAAATAGTGCATAAACAACTGCCCTCAGGAGACTTTCGAGTAGCGGCAGCGCCCCTATGGGCCCTCCCAGGGTGTGCTTCACTCCTAAGGGACACGGCAGTCCCATGTGAACTTCAAGGGGTGGCAACATGCCCAGGGACCCTCCAAGGAGTGGTAGGACCCTAGAGTAATTCACAGGGGCAGCGGCACCTCCAGGGGATTTACCCAAGGCCATCGTCGCCCCCAGGGGCTCTACTAGTAGCGGTGGCACCCCCAGAGGACATCCCAGCGGTGGCGGCGGCCCTCCCAGGGCGGTGACGTTCCTAAGATCCCTCCCAGGAGCAGCGGCGCCCACATGAGCCATCCCAGGGATGGGTGCGCCTCCAGGGGCCCACCGAGAGGCGGAAACGCACTCAGGCGCCCTTCCATGAGTGGTGGCAAACCGAGATGCGTCGGGACCTCCATGGCCTTCCCAGGGGCAGTCAGGCCCCCGGAGTCTTCCCACGGGCAGTGGGGACTCTCCCAGGAGCCCTTGCAGGAGCAGCGATGCTCTCCAGGTGAAGCAGTGGTGCTCTTATGGGCAGTGGCGCCTCCAGGGGCACTCCCAGGGACGAGGTCGTCCCCAGACGCCCTCCTTAGGGCCAGTAGCACCACCAGCAGCTCTCCCAGGGGCGCTGATACCCCCAGAGCCCATCCCAGGGGTGGTGAAACCATCAGGGACCCTCCCATGGGCGGTGGCGATCCAGAGGCCCTAAAAGCTTGGTCGTGGTGCCGTAAATATGACATACGTCCAGCAATCCCTTACTTGTCTATGATTGGTGGACTAAAATATACAACCACCAAATTACAGCCAATAGGAAACCAGAAGAATCAGTCAGCACAACACCCAAACTTATGTTTTCCTGTTGGATATTTATTCTCTTTTTCATTGTTCACGATGTAATGATACTGGAAATGCGATGGGCAGTAGAATTATTTAACGTCATATCTCCTAGGGTTTTAAATAGTGCATGAACTGCTCCCATGAGACCTTCTTGGTGCGGTGGCGCCCCCAGGGGACCTCCCAGGGGTGGCAGCGCTACCCGTGAGGATTCATAGAAGCAGCAGGAATCCTCACCAGGGGCGGCAGAGCCCCCACGTCCCTCCCAGGGGCAGTGAAAACCCCAGAGGCCTTCTCATTAGCGGCGGGACCCTCACAAGGGCGATGGTGCCCCCAGGGGAAGCAGAAGCCCCCAGGGGACCTCCCAGGGGTGGTAGCGCCTCCAAGGAAATTCTCACGGGTGTTAGCGCTTCCAGTTGGATTCCCAAGGGCGACGTCGCCCCCAGGGTCACCTCCCAGTGCCAGTGGCGCCCCCAGGAGGCCTCCCAGAGAGGGTGGGAGCTCTCCCTGGGGTGTTGGCACACCCAATGGTACTCTCAGGGTTGGTGGTGCCCACAGTGGCCCTCCCAGGGGCGTTCCTAACCCCAGGGTCCCTCCAAGTGGTGGCAGTGCCCCCAGGGGGCCTTCAAGGGCGGCGGAGGCCCTCCTAGGGGCATTGGCAAGTTTAAGAGCCATCCCAGGAACGACAGCGCCCCACGTGCCATTCTAAGGGCGGCGACGCCCTCAGGGACCCTCCCAGGGATGACAAAAATCCTATGGGCCCTTACAGTTAAGGCAGAGACTCTCCCATAGGCGGTGGTGCTCACAGGGACCCTCTCAGGAGAGAGGGTTCCCCAGAGTCCCTCCTTAGGGACAGCAGAGCCCCCAGCTTCTCTCCCAGGGACGCTTATGCCCCTAGGGCCCCGCCCAGGGGTGATGAAGCCATCAAGGACCCTCCCATGGGCTCTGGCACTCCAGAGGCCCTACCAGGGGCTTCCCCTCCTGGGACCTCTCAGGGGTGGTGGCGCACTTAAGGGTCCTTCCAGAGTTGGAGGCGCCCACAGGGGCCCTCCCAGGGACGGCGATTCCTCCAGGGGCCCTCTCATGGGTGGGGAACGCCAGGGACCCTCCAATTGGTGGCGGGGCCCCAGGGACCTCTTCAAGGGACGGCTGGGGCCCTCCCAAGATTGATGGCACCTTTAAGATTCCTCCCAGGAAGGCAGCGCCCCCACGTGCCCTCCCAAGAAGAGTGACGTCCTTAGGCACCCTCCCAGGGCTGGCGGCATTCCTAGGAGCCCTGCAGGTGCAACAGTGGTCCTCTTATGGACAGTGGCGCCTCCACCGGCCCTCCCAGGGGCGGTGGCGCCTCAGTGGCCCTACCAGAGGCTTCCCCTCCTGGAAACCCTATAGCTTGCTTGGTCGTGGAGCCGTACATATTGCATAAGTCCAGCAATCCCTTACTTGTCTGTGATTGGTGGACTAAAATGTAAATCCACCAAATTACAGCCAATAGGAAAACAGAACAGTCAGTCAACACAACACCCAAACTTATGTTTCCCTGTTAGTTATTTATTCTCCTTTTCATTGTTCAGGATGTGATGATCCTGGAAATGCGATGGGCAGTGTAATTATTTAACGGCATATTTCTTACAGTTCTAAATAGTGCATAAACAATTGCCCCAAGGGGACCTGCTAGGTGCGGCGGCGCCTCCAATTGAATTCCCAGGGGCGGTGGCACCCCCGGTGGCCCTCCCAAGGGCGGGGTCGCCCCCAGGGTCCGTCCCAATGACGACCGCGCCCCCAGGAGGCCTCCCAGGGGCAGTGTGGACCCTCCTAGGGACGGTGGGGAACCTCCCAGGGGCGGTGGCGCACCTAAGGGTCCTCGCAGGGTTGGAGGCGCCCACAGGGGCCCTCCCAGGGACGGCGTCTCCTCCAGGGGCCCTCCCAGGTGTAGGGGACGCCAGGGGCCCTCCAATTGGTGGCAGCGCCCCAAAAGGCTCTTCAGGGGACGGTGGGGGCCCTCCCAAAATTGGTGGCACCCTTAAGATCCCTCCCAGGAAGGCGGCGCCCCCAGGTGCCCTCCCAAGGAGACGGGGGGGGGGGTGACACCCTTAGGCACCATCCCAGGGGTGGCGGCATTAATAAGGGCCCTCCAGGTGCGGCAGTGGTCCTCCTAGGGGCAGTGGCGCCTCCAGAGGCCCTCCCAGGGGCAAGGTCGTCCCCAGAGGTCCTCCATAGGGGCAGTAGCACCCCCAGCAGGTCTCACAGGGACGTTGGCGTCCTCAGGGCCTCTTCCACTGTCGATGGCGCCATCAGGGGCCCTCTATTGGGCGGTAGCGCCTCAGCGGCCCTACCAGGGGCTTCCCCTCCTAGGACCCCTATAGCTTGCTTAGTCGCGGTGCCATGCATATGATATACATCCAGCAATCCCTTACTTGTCGATGATTAGGGGACTAAAATGTAAATCCACCAAATTACAGCCAATAGGAAAAAGAGAACAGTTAGTCAGCACAACACCCAAACTTATGTTTTCCTTTTGGATACTTATTCTCTTTTTCATTGTACAGGATGTAATGATACTGGAAATGCGATGGACAGTGCAATTATTTAACGTCATATCTCCTAGACCTAGAGTTTTAAATAGTGCATGAACATCTGCTCCCAGGAGACCTGCTTGGTGCGGTGGCGTCCCCAGGGGGCCTCCCAGGGGCAAGGTCGTCCCCAGAGGTCCTCCATAGGGGCAGTAGCACCCCCAGCAGGTCTCACAGGGACGTTGGCGTCCTCAGGGCCTCTTCCACTGTCGATGGCGCCATCAGGGGCCCTCTATTGGGCGGTAGCGCCTCAGCGGCCCTACCAGGGGCTTCCCCTCCTAGGACCCCTATAGCTTGCTTAGTCGCGGTGCCATGCATATGATATACATCCAGCAATCCCTTACTTGTCGATGATTAGGGGACTAAAATGTAAATCCACCAAATTACAGCCAATAGGAAAAAGAGAACAGTTAGTCAGCACAACACCCAAACTTATGTTTTCCTTTTGGATACTTATTCTCTTTTTCATTGTACAGGATGTAATGATACTGGAAATGCGATGGACAGTGCAATTATTTAACGTCATATCTCCTAGACCTAGAGTTTTAAATAGTGCATGAACATCTGCTCCCAGGAGACCTGCTTGGTGCGGTGGCGTCCCCAGGGGGCCTCCCAGGGGCGGTGGGAGCTCTCCCAAGGGTGTTGGCACACCCAAGGGTACTCCTAGGGTTGGTGGTGCCCACAGGGGCCCTCCCAGGGGCGTTGCCGACCCCAGGTGCCTTCCAAGTGATGGTGGGGCCCCCAAGGGCCCTTCAAGGGCGGCGGGGGCCCTCCCAGGAGCATTAGCAACTTTAAGAGTCATCCCACGGACGGCAGCGCCCCCAGGTGCCATTCTAGGGGCGGCGACGCTCTCAGGGACCCTCCCAGACCTGGCGAAAATCCTATGGGCCCTCCCATGTACGGCAGAGGCCCTCCCAGGGGCGGTGGTGCCCACAGGGACCCTCTCAGGGGTGAGGGTTTCCCCAGAGGCCCTCCTTAGGGGCAGCAGTGCCCCCAGGTCCTCTCCCAGGGGCACTGATGCCCCCAGGGTCCCTCCCAGTGGTGGTGAAGCCCTCAGGGACCCTCCCTTGGGCGGTGGCGCTCCAGAGGCCCTACCAACCAGCCTCGTACCGTCTATACATGCTACGACGACTTAGGTCACTTGGGACACCCACGCCAGAGCTGAGGACCATCTACAATGCCCTTATTCTCCCCAAACTAACGTATGCGTCACCAGCCTGGTCGTCTTCTCTCAACTCCACCCAACAACGTCAGCTGGAGAAGATACAGAAAAGGGCCTGCAGAATCATGTTCGGCGCAGAATACTCCAGCTACACCAATGCTCTCTCCACCCTGTAAATGCCATCCCTCAGTGACCTCCACCACCAAGCACTGGAAAGGTTTGGCAATGGACTACTGCACCACCCTCGCCATCGCCACCTCCTGCAGCCCCCCACCCAACTCGCGCAGTCCGCCACTACAACAAAATTCAGCCCATAAGAGCCCGCACCGATAGATATAAGAATAGCACCATCCCATCTATTGATAAAAAAATAAACAACTCCTGATTTATGTAATGTACAGCCCTGTAAATGTATTGAACGTATATCATTATGTCTAAATCACATGTAAGTTTGTATATTTTCAGCCACTGGCTGCAACTCTATTAATAAACCGTTTATTATTCTTTATTATTATTATTATTACCAGGAGCTTACCCTCCTGGGACACCCATAGCTAGCTTGTTCGTTGTGCCGTACATATGACATACATCCAACAATCCCTTACTTGTCTGTGATTGGAGGACTAAAATGTAATTCCACCAAATTACAGCCAATAGGAAAACAGAACAGTCTATCAGCACAACACCCAAACTTATGTTTTCCTGTTGGATATTTATTCTCTCTTTCATTGTTCAGGCTGTAATGATACTGGAAATGCGATGGGCAGTGTGATTATGTAACGTCATATCTCCCAGAGATTTAAATAGTACATGAACATCTGCTCCCAGGAGACCTGCGTGGTGCGGTGGCGCCCCCAGGGGACCTCCCAAGGGCGGCGGCGGTGCCCATGAGGACTCATAGAGGAAGCAAGGATCCATACCACATGCGGCAGAGCCCCCACGTCCTTCCCAGGGGCAGTGAAAACCCCAGAGGCCATCCCATTAGCGGCGGGACCCTCACAAGGGCGATGGTGCCCCCAGGGGAAGGGGAAGCCCCCAGGGGAACTTCCGGGGTGGTAGCGCCTCCAAGGAAATTCTCGCGGGGGGTAGCGCCCCCAGTTGGATTCCCAAGGGCGGCGTCGCACCCAGGGTCCATCCCAGTGGCAGCAGCGCCCCCAGGGGGCCTCCCAGGGGCGGCGGGAGCTCTCCCAGGGATGTTGGCACACCCAAGGGTACTCCCAGTTGGTAGCGCGGCCCCCTGGGGCGTTTCAATAGCAGCGGGGGCCATCCCAGGGGCATTGGCAGCTTTAAGAGTCATCCCAAGGACGGCAGCGCCCCCAGGTGCCACTCTAGGGGCGGCGACGCCCTCAGGGACCCTCCCATGCCTGGCGAAAATCCTATGGGTCCTTCCATGTATGGCAGAGTCCCTCCCAGGGGCGGTGGCGCCCACAGGGATCCTCTCAGGTGCTAGGGCTTCCCCAGAGGACCTCCTTAGAGGAAGCAGCGCAGCCCCAGCTTCTCTCCAAGGGGCGCTGATGACCCCAGGGTCCCACACAGGGGTGGTGAAGCCATCAAGGACACTCCTTTAGGCGGTGGCGCTACAGAGGCCCTACCAAGAGCTTCCCCTCCTGGAAGACCTATAAAGGTAGCAAGCATGGTCGTGCTGCTGTACATATGACATACGTCCAGCAATCCCTTACTTGTCTATGACTGGTGGACTATAATGTAAATCCACCAAATTACAGCCAATAGAAGAAGAGAGGAGTGATTCAAAAGAACACCCCAATTTATGTTTTCCTGTTGGTTAATTATACTCCTTTTCATTATTCAGGATGTGATGATACTGGAAATGTGATGGGCAATTAAATTATTTAACGTCATATCTCTTAGAGTTCTAAATAGTGCATAAACAATTGCCCCAAAGGAACCTGCTAGGTGCGGCGGCGCCTCCAAGGAAATTCTCAGGGGCGGTGGCACCCCCAGTGGTCTTCCCAAGGGCAGTGTCGCCCCCAGGGTTCCTCCCAATGACGACGGCGCCCCCAGGAGGCCTCCCAAGGGCAGTGGGGACCCTCCGAGGGGCGGCGGGGGACCTCTCAGGGGCGGTGGTGCACTTAAGGGTCCACCCAGGATTGCAGGCGCCCACAGGGGCCCTCCCAGGGACGGCGATTCTTTCAGGGGCCCTACCAAAGGTGGGGGGACACCAGGGGCCCTCGAATTGGTGGCAGGGCCCCAAGGGCCTTTATAACTGACAGCAGGGGCCCTCCCAAGATTGGTGGCACCCTTAAGATCCCTCCCAGGAAGGCAACGGCCCCAAGTGCCCTCCCAGGAGGGTTGACACCCTTAGGCACCCTCTTAGGGCTGGCGGCATTCCTAGGGGCCCTCCAGGTGCACCAGTGGTTCTCTTTTGGGCAGTGGCGTCACCAGGGGCCCTCCCAGTGAGGGAAGTTGTCTCCAGAGGCCCTACTTAGGGGCAGTAGCACCCCCAGCAGCTCTCACAGGATCACTGGCATCCCCAAGGCCCCTTCCAGGGTCGGTGGCGCCATCAGGGGCCCTCTTTTGGGCAGTGGCGCCTCAGCTGCCCTACCAGGGGCTTCCCTTCCTGGAAACCCTATAGCTTGCTTGGTTATGGTGCCGTACATATTGCATACGTCCAGCAATCCCTTACTTGTCGATGATTGGTGGACTAAAATGTAAATCCACTAATTTACAGCCAATAGGAAAACAAAACAGTCAGTCAGCACAACACCCAAACTTATGTTTTCCTGCTGGATATTTATTCTCATTTTCATTGTTCAGGATGTAATGATACTGGAAATGCGATGGGCAGTGTAATTATTTAACGTCATATCTGCCAGAGATTTAAATAGTGCATGAAGATCTGCTCCCAGGAGAACTGCTTGTTGCAGTGGCGCCAAGAGGGGACCTCCCAGAGGTGGCGACGCTGCCCATGAGGACTCATAGGGGCGGCAGTGATCCTCACCAGGGGCGGCAGAGCCTCCACCTCCCTCCCAGGGGCACTGAACACCCCAGAGGCCTTCGCATTAGTGGTAAGTCCCTCACAAGGGCGATGGTGCCCCCACAGGAAGCAGAAGCCCCCAGGGGACCTCCCAGGGGTGGTAGCGCCTCCAAGGAAATTGTTACGGGTGGTGGCACACCACGTGGCCCTCCCAAGAGCGGCATCGACCCCAGGATCCCTCCCAGTGGCAGAGGCGCCCCCAGGGGGCCTCCCGGGGGCGGCGGGAGCTCTACCAGGGGTGTTAGCACACCCAAGGGTACTCCCAGGGTTGGTGATGCTCACATAGTTCCTCCCACGGGCATTTTAATCCCCAGGGGCCCTCTAAGAGGTGGCGTTGCCCCTCCCAAGGGCATTGGCCACTTTAAGAGCAATACCAGGGACGCTAGCGCCCCCAGGTGCCATTCTAGGGGCGGCGACGCCCTCAGGGACCCTCCCAGGCCTGGCGAAAATCCTATGGGCCCTCCAGGGTACGGCAGATAACCTTCCAGGGGCGATGGTGCCCACAGGGACCCTCTCAGGGGCGAGGGTTTCCCCCAGAGGCCCTCCTTAGAGGCAGCAGCGCCCCCAGCTTCTCCCCCAGGGGCGCCAATGCCCCCAGGGCCCCTCCCAGGGGTAGTGAAGCCATCAGGGACCCTCCCATGGGCGGCGGCACTAAAGAGGCCCTACAAGGAGCTTCCCCTCCTGGGAGACATATACATGGTCGTGGTGCCGAACATATGACACACGTCCAGCAATCCCTTACTTGTCTATGACTGGTGGACTATAATGTAAATCCACCAAATTAGAGCCAAAAGGAGAAGAGAGGAGTGATTCAAAAGAAAACCCAAACTTATATTTTCCTGTTGGTTATTTATTCTCCTTTTCATTGTTCAGGATGTGATGATACTGGAAATGCGATGGGCAGTGTAATTATTTAACGTCTTATCTCTTAGAGTTCTAAATAGTGCATAAACAATTACTCCAAAGGGACCTGCTGGGTGCGGCGGCGCCTCCAAGGGAATTCCCAGGGGCGGTTGCACTCCAGTGGTCCTCCCAAAGGCGACGTCGCCCCCAGGGTCCCTCCCAATGACGACGGCGCCCCCAGGAGGCCTCCCAAGGGCAGTGGGGACCCTCCCAGGCGCGATGGGGGACCTCTCATGGGCGGTGGTGCACTTAAGGGTCCTCCCAAGGTTGGAGGCGCTCACAGGGGCCCTCCCAGGGACAGCGATTCCTTCCCGGGCCCTCTCAGCGGTGCGGGTACGCCAGGGGCCCTCCAATTGGTGGCGGGGTCCCAAGGGCATCTTCAAGGGACGGCAGCAGCCCTCCCGAGATTGGTGGCACCCTTAAGATCCCTCCCAGGAAGGCAGCGCCCCAAGGTGCCCTCCCAGGGGGGTTGACGCCCTTAGGCGCCCTCTTAGGGCTGGCAGCATTCCTAGGGTCCCTCCAGGTGCACCAGTGGTTCTCTTTTGGGCAGTGGCGCCACCAGGGGCCCTCCCAGGGGCAAAGTCGTCCCCAGAGGCCCTCCTTAGGGGCAGTAGGACCGCCAGCAGCTCTCACACGGTCACTGGCGTCCCCAAGGCCTCTTCCAGGGTCGGTGGCGCCATCAGGGGCCCTCTTTTGGGCAGTGGCGCCTCAGCTGCCCTACCAGGGGCTTCCCTTCCTGGAAACCCTATAGCTTGCTTGGTTATGGTGCCGTACATATGCATACGTCCAGCAATCCCTTACTTGTCGATGATTGGTGGACTAAAATGTAAATCCACTAATTTACAGCCAATAGGAAAACAAAACAGTCAGTCAGCACAACACCCAAACTTATGTTGGATATTTATTCTCATTTTCACTGTTCAGGATGTAATGATACTGGAAATGCGATGGGCAGTGTAATTATTTAACGACATATCTCCCAGAGTTTTAAATAGTGCATGAAGATCTGCTCCCAGGAGACCTGCTTGTTGCAGTGGCGCCCACAGGGGACCTCCCAGGGGGGGCGCCTCAGCCCATGAGGACTCATAGAGGCGGCAGGGATCCTCACCAGTGGCGGCAGAGCCTCCACCTCCCTCCCAGGGGCACTGAACACCCCAGAGGCCTTCGCATTAGCGGTGGCACCCTCACAAGGGCGATGGTGCCCCCACAGGAAGCAGAAGCCTCAAGTGACCTCCCACTGGTGGTAGCGCCTCCAAGGAAATTGTTACGGGTGCTGGTACCCCCAGTCGCGCTCCCAAGGGCGGCATCGACCCTAGGATCCCTCCCAGTGGCAGCGGCGCCCCCAGGGGGCCTCCCACGGGCGGCGGGAGCAATCCCAGGGGTGTTGGCACACCCAAGGGTACTCCCAGGGTTGGTGGTGCTCACATAGGCCCTCCCAGGGGGGTTTCAATCAACAGGGGGCCTCTAAGAGGTGGCGGGGCCCCTCCAAGGGGCATTGGCCAATTTAAGAGCAATCCCAGGGACGTTAGCGCCCCCAGGTGCCATTCTACGGGCGGCGACGCCGTCAGGGACCCTCCCATGCCTGGTCAAAATCCTATGGACCCTCCCAGGGGCAGCGGTGCCTACAGGGACCCTGTCATGGGCGAGGGCTTCCCCACAGGCCCTCTTTAAGGGCAGCAACGCCCCCAGCTTCTCTCCAAGGGGCACTGTTGTACCCAGGGACCTTCCCAGGGGTGGTGAAGGCATCAGGGACC